TGTGTAACCTACATTACCCTACACACGTTGTGTAACCTAGATTACCCTACACACGTTGTGTAACCTACATTACCCTACACACGTTGTGTAACCTACATTACCCTACACACGTTGTGTAACCTACATTACCCTACACAATTCCGTTGTGTAACCTACATTACCCTACACAATTACGTTGTGTAACCTACATTACCCTACACACACACGTTGTGTAACCTACATTACCCTACACACGTTGTGTAACCTACACTACCCTACACAATTACGTTGTGTAACCTACATTACCCTACACACTTACGTTGTGTAACCTACATTACCCTACACAGTTACATTGTGTAACCTACATTACCCTACACACGTTGTGTAACCTACATTACCCTACACACACACGTTGTGTAACCTACATTACCATACACACTTACGTTGTGTAACCTACATTACCCTACACACTTACGTTGTGTAACCTAGATTACCCTACACACTTACGTTGTGTAACCTAGATTACCCTACACAATTACGTTGTGTAGCCTAGATTACCCTACACAATTACGTTGTGTAACCTACATTACCCTACACACGTTGTGTAACCTACATTACCCTACACACGTTGTGTAACCTACATTACCCTACACACTCACGTTGTGTAACCTACATTACCCTACACACGTTGTGTAACCTAGATTACCCTACACACGTTGTGTAACCTACATTACCCTACACACTTACGTTGTGTAGCCTAGATTACCCTACACAATTACGTTGTGTAACCTAGATTACCCTACACACGTTGTGTAACCTACATTACCCTACACACGTTCTGTAACCTACATTACCATACACAATTACGTTGTGTAACCTACATTACCGTACACACTCACGTTGTGTAACCTACATTACCCTACACACGTTGTGTAACCTACATTACCCTACACACGTTGTGTAACCTACATTACCATACACAATTACATTGTGTAACCTACATTACCCTACACACGTTGTGTAACCTACATTACCCTACACACGTACGTTGTGTAACCTACATTACCTTACGCAATTACGTTGTGTAACCTACATTACCATACACAATTACGTTGTGTAACCTACACTACCCTACACACGTTATGTAACCTACATTACCCTACACACTTACATTGTGTAACCTACATTACCCTACACAATTACGTTGTGTAACCTACATTACCCTACACAATTACGTTGTGTAACCTACATTACCCTACGCAATTACGTTGTGTAACCTACATTACCCTACACAATCACGTTGTGTAACCTACATTACCCTACACAATGACGTTGTGTAACCTACATTACCCTACACACTTACGTTGTGTAACCTACATTACCCTACACAATTACGTTGTGTAACCTACATTACCCTACACACACGTTGTGTAACCTACATTACCATACACACGTTGTGTAACCAACATTACCCTACACACGTTGTGTAACCTACATTACCCTACACAAGTACATTGTGTAACCTACATTACCCTACACACGTTGTGTAACCTACATTACCCTACACAATTCCGTTGTGTAACCTACATTACCCTACACACACACGTTGTGTAACCTACATTACCCTACACACACACGTTGTGTAACCTACATTACCCTACACACGTTGTGTAACCTACACTACCCTACACAATGACGTTGTGTAACCTACATTACCCTACACACGTTGTGTAACCTACATTACCCTACACACTTACATTGTGTAATGTACATTACCCTACACACGTTGTGTAACCTACATTACCATACACACGTTGTGTAACCTACATTACCCTACACACGTTGTGTAACCTACATTACCCTACACAAGTACATTGTGTAACCTACATTACCCTACACACGTTGTGTAACCTACATTACCCTACACAATTCCGTTGTGTAACCTACATTACCCTACACAATTACGTTGTGTAACCTACATTACCCTACACACACACGTTGTGTAACCTACATTACCCTACACACGTTGTGTAACCTACACTACCCTACACACTTACTTTGTGTAACCTACAGTACCCTACACACGTTGTGTAACCTACATTACCCTACACACTTACATTGTGTAATGTACATTACCCTACACACGTTGTGTAACCTACATTACCCTACACACACACGTTGTGTAACCTACATTACCCTACACAATTACGTTGTGTAACCTACATTACCCTACACAATCACGTTGTGTAACCTACATTACCCTACACAATGACGTTGTGTAACCTACATTACCCTACACACTTACGTTGTGTAACCTACATTACCCTACACACTTACGTTGTGTAACCTAGATTACCCTACACACTTACGTTGTGTAACCTAGATTACCCTACACAATTACGTTGTGTAGCCTACATTACCCTACACAATTACGTTGTGTAACCTACATTACCCTACACACGTTGTGTAACCTACATTACCCTACACACGTTGTGTAACCTACATTACCCTACACACTCACGTTGTGTAACCTACATTACCCTACACACACACGTTGTGTAACCTAGATTACCCTACACACGTTGTGTAACCTACATTACCCTACACACTTACGTTGTGTAGCCTAGATTACCCTACACAATTACGTTGTGTAACCTAGATTACCCTACACACGTTGTGTAACCTACATTACCCTACACACGTTGTGTAACCTACATTACCCTACACACTCACGTTGTGTAACCTACATTACCCTACACACGTTGTGTAACCTACATTACCCTACACACGTTGTGTAACCTACATTACCATACACAATTACGTTGTGTAACCTACATTACCCTACACACGTTGTGTAACCTACATTACCCTACACACGTACGTTGTGTAACCTACATTACCTTACGCAATCACGTTGTGTAACCTACATTACCATACACAATTACGTTGTGTAACCTACACTACCCTACACACGTTGTGTAACCTACATTACCCTACACACGTACGTTGTGTAACCTACATTACCCTACACACGTTGTGTAACCTACATTACCCTACACACTTACATTGTGAAACCTACATTACCCTACACAATTACGTTGTGTAACCTACATTACCCTACACACTTACGTTGTGTAACCTACATTACCCTACACAATTACGTTGTGTAACCTACATTACCCTACACAATTACGTTGTGTAACCTACATTACCCTACACAATTACGTTGTGTAACCTACATTACCCTACACACACGTTGTGTAACCTACATTACCCTACACACCTTGTGTAACCTACATTACCCTACACAAGTACATTGTGTAACCTACATTACCCTACACACGTTGTGTAACCTACATTACTCTACACTATTACGTTGTGTAATCTACATTACCCTACACACACACGTTGTGTAACCTACATTACCCTACACACATTGTGTAACCTACATTACCCTATACACTTGCATTGTGTAACCTACATTACCCTACACAATTACGTTGTGTAACCTACATTACCCTACACAATTACGTTGCGTAACCTACATTACCCTACACACTTACGTTGTGTAACCTACATTACCCTACACAATTACGTTGTGTAACCTACATTACCCTACACAATCACGTTGTGTAACCTACATTACCCTACACAATTACGTTGTGTAACCTACATTACCCTACACACACGTTGTGTAACCTACATTACCCTACACACGTTGTGTAACCTACATTACCCTACACAATTACGTTGTGTAATCTACATTACCCTACACAATTACGTTGTGTAACCTACATTACCCTACACACACGTTGTGTAACCTACATTACCCTACACACGTTGTGTAACCTACATTACCCTACACACGTTGTGTAACCTACATTACCCTACACAATTACGTTGTGTAACCTACATTACCCTACACACGTTGTGTAACCTACATTACCCTACACAATTACGTTGTGTAACCTACATTAGCCTACACAATTACGTTGTGTAACCTGCATTACCCTACACACACACGTTGTGTAACCTACATTACCCTACACACGTTGTGTAACCTACACTACCCTACACAATAGCGTTGTGTAACCTACATTACCCTACACACTTACATTGTGTAACCTACATTACCCTACACAATTACGTTGTGTAACCTACATTACCCTACACACGTTGTGTAACTTAGATTGCCCTACACAAGTACATTGTGTAACCTACACTACCCTACACAATTACGTTGTGTAACCTACATTACCCTACACGCTTACGTTGTGTAACCTACATTACCCTACACACTTACATTGTGTAACCTACATTACCCTACACAATTGCGTTGTGTAACCTACATTACCCTACACAAGTACGTACAGTAGTTTCACGCATAACCTCTATTACTTCGTAACCCATTTTGTCAAAGTTTTAGATTGCAGTTTTAAAAATTAACTGAATCAAACGTTTTGCCCGTGGCCACACACCACGCTAAGGGGAGACAAGCGTGTAATGTATTGGAGGAAGAAAACGGAATTGGAAAGGGAAGACAGAAGAGAAAGAACTGGTAGTTAGAGGAGGCAAGATCGACATAGCCAGGCAGAGTTGAGGATGGCTTTTGTTATTGTTCCTGGAAGGAAAGTTGTGCAAAAAGGGCAGACAGGGCAAGCTGGCTGGCAAAGGGAATGTATGGCGGGATAGAAGTCCCCAAGACAGACACAAATGGCACGGCTCAAGATGAGCGTTATGAAGAAGCGCCGTGCAGGACGGGGAGAAGGGGAATAAGCGGAGAGGTTGGTGGCGAGCGGGCGGAGAAGAGAGGGGTAGAGAAGCAAGAAGAACCCAGAGCGGAGTTTGTTTTCACAGGAGGCGGGGAAAGGGGAGGGATTCAGAGTTGGGAGTGTCCACAAAAACATTCACGTGATGTACTGGAGGCTTGAGCCGATTCAGATTGATACATGTGTGAGGATAGGAGAAGTTATATTAACACAGTGCTGTATTATAAAAACAGAAGCCCACCGCCAACCAACCTTGTATCGGAATGTCTGCCCGTGGAAGTGAATGGTGTGCATATCGAGTTCTCCGCCCAGACCCATCAAGTACCAGTCCACGCGCTCCTTGAGCCCCATGTTGAGCCCATTCAGATTACCGAAAGTCATGCCGTTGATGCCTAAAACGATACCAAGTAACTTCGTGTTATTTACACACACACACGTTACTGGAATCACATTCGTCTGTGTATGAAATAAAATGTAAGTCATACAAGTGCGTAACAAAAATCGCAGAGGTAAACCGTAAACATAGTTAAATTTTGATTTAAAGCTTTCGTGACTGCAGTAATTCATATTCTTAGCTCTTTCGGTAAAGTCACGTCGTGAGAATTTTTATTGTTTAATATATATTTTATTGTTTCCCTTCAACGTGACTTTACCGAAAGAGCTAAGAATACGTAAACATAGTTCTTGCTGAGGGCGTTCATAAATTGAATTCCTTTAAGTTTAGAGATCTTTTTTTCTCAACAACATCGGCGCCACATTGGCTGCCGCCATTCGCCTCAAGAGACTGCGTTCAGCTGGTGTAAAACAACGTATTCAGGCAGTGTCAGATCCCACGTCGTTTATTCGACTTTCTCTGAAGCCAAGGCTCAACAGTGAAAATGTTCCTTGCGAACAATGTCGCCAGCAACATATTGTTTGCAGTGCTTTGTATAGCACAGGTTGCAACACTGGAAAAAAAATAATGTTGCATTCGAATCCGGAGCACCTGTCCATTGCGGCTCAGTTAGTATCCTATAATAATACTAACAAAAACCAGGATTGATACGGACATATTGGCGGTACACCGGTACAGCACAACACACTGGTCCTCGTTTTGATTTAAAGCTTTCGTGACTGCAGTAATTCATATTCTTAGTTCTTTCGGTAAAGTCACGTTGAAGGGAAACAACAAAATAATAAAATATATAAAAAACAATAAAAATTCTCACGACGTTTCGACCATAACACAAACGATCGTCATCAGGTGTGTCGTTTGTGTTATGGTCGAAACGTCGTGAGAATTTGTATTGTTTTATATGTATTTTATTATTTTGTTGTTTCCCTTCAACGTGACTTTACCGAAAGAACTAAGAATACACTGGTCCTCGTCAAACAGTCTGTCGGTGTTTCTGTTGCCTTGAGTGAGCTGGAGACGCTCCATGAGTAATTCCCTTTGATTCAGCAGCTGCTTTGCAATCGATCGTGTGGTGACACCACGAGTCGTAATATTTCGACGCCACCGTCCGCCAAAAAGTTATTCCGGAATTGAATTGAGGAACCGTCCGATCACGTTTAGGGCACGAGGTCAAATCTATCTTTGGAGCACGAAGCCAATCATCAGGTTGGGTGCCATACAGCAACAGACTGTGAAGCTTAATGTTTAGCTGCTCATAACATTCGTCTACTGACTGCTTCAACGTCACAAGAACTGATTTTAATGCACCCGGCAAGATTTTCTGACTGGGGTTGCAAATCGCGGGCAAATAAATAATAATTGCTGCGTTTTTTTAAATGTACATACTGCTGACCACCGGTGTACCGCCAACATTATCTTAGTTTTTATATTATTTGGGTCTTTCAGTAAAGTCACGTAGATAGGTTAAAAACAATAACACGCTAATCTCTCACATTAACATGCTAATCTCTCACGTTAACACGTTAATCTCTCACATTAACATTCTAATCTCTCACATTAACACGTTAATCTCTCACAATTAACACGTTAATCTCTCACATTAACTACGCTCTCCTATCTCACATTAACACGCTCATTTCTCACGTGAACATAACTAGCCCCACCCACTTCGTTTATGACCCTTGGGCTACACACATTTTAAACCTTTAAAACAGTCTGCCTCAGAAGCTTTCCCCCTCGTTTTTTCCTCCTGATGCCGATCGCTTGTGTTGTAATCAAAACGTCGTGGTTTTTTCTTATGTTTTTTGTTATTGTTTGTTATTTCTTTGAACCTATCTACGTGACTTTACCGAAAGACCCCAATAATATGAATTCCTGCAGTCACGAAAGCTTTAAGTCGAGACGTATTATCTTAGTTATTCATCTCTTATTTTATGTTCAGCTTACCACTCTGAAATTCCCGGAGAGTTTCCTTTTTTGGTATTTGTGGAGTGAACAAAACTGAACAAATGCAACAGAGAATTGAGGACAAAGCCTTATTATTGATTTACCTGTAAAGTTTCTGTATAAATAATCTCTGGACAAATTGGGAAATAACCCACCTCTGCATGAATTTGGATCCACAATTGTTTCACGAACTCTGGCACTGCCTCTTGATTGTTTCAGGAATCTCACTAAAAGTTCCTCCAAATTATCGTCTCATCTCAACTTTATACTGAATTTGCAAGTGCAAACAATTGTCTGAGCAAGGTTGGCCCTGAGTGTGCAGTAAAATGCGACAATCCCACAGCAGATAACAGTACATGCGACAATGACTGTTTACTTTCCAACCACGAGCTCCTGTATTTATTGTAAACCTGAGAAGGTATTTGAGAACAGCTACCCGAGATTTTGACGAGATGGGATTTTTGTGTGTCAATTGCCATGCAACGTTAGCACCGGGATTTTCTTTGATTACGTTATTTACTTCCGAATGTTACTTTTGATCGCTGAGGTCTCGAGGGGATATTTAATAATGTTGGGGTTAAATGGATAATTAATAATAATAAAAAATCAGTCCACATTACACAGTCTGTTTGCTGTTTTTAATCTTTACAGACCCTTGTAATTCTACTTGTTAAAAATGTTGTGTGCCATGTTATTTATCCTGTTTTACATGCGACAGTGCCGCCTCCTTACTGTGCATGAGATTGCTCTCACGGAAGTCCTTGTCGGCGACGTCCACAGCACCGGGATTCCCCGTGAAGTTGTCGATGTTGTCCCGCAGGTACCAGGACAGGTTCTCATCGTAGACCATAAAGAGGAGAGCAAACTCGTGGGCCACATCGTTACGGTGGCCCGAGTCGTCAAGCAACCCAGAGCGGCACACCACCAGTGGCCCCACCAACCCCGAGTTCGGGTCCTGCACACACACACATACAACCAAACAAACTGTTTCACTCATTGTTACATTTGTAACATGCCACACCTCGAGGCCCACAGCAAAGGTGTTTGACAAGATGTTTTGCAATCGCCCAATCCTAGCCTCCACAGTGCTGGACTACAGGCGTGAGACAGAGATAGCTGGGCTAGCAGCAGAGAGAGAGACAGAGATAGCTGGCCTAGCAGTAGACAGGGCCAGAGATAGCTGGGCTAGCAGCAGAGAGAGACAGAGATAGCTGGGCTAGCAGCAGCTAGAGCCAGAGATAGCTGGGCTAGCAGCAGCTAGAGACAGAGATAGCTGGGCTAGCAGCAGAGAGAGACAGAGATAGCTGGGCTAGCAGCAGAGAGAGACAGATATAGCTGGGCTAGCAGCAGCTAGAGACAGAGATAGCTGGGCTAGCCTCAGCTAGAGACAGAGATAGTTGGGCTAGCAGCAGAGAGAGACAGAGATAGCTGGGCTAGCAGCAGAGAGAGACAGAGATAGCTGGGCTAGCAGCAGAGAGAGACAGAGATAGCTGGGCTAGCAGCAGCTAGAGACAGAGATAGCTGGGCTAGCGCAGAGAGAGACAGAGATAGCTGGGCTAGCAGCAGAGAGAGCCAGAGATATCTGGGCTAGCAGCAGCTAGAGACAGAGATAGCTGGGCTAGCAGCAGAGAGAGAGACAGAGATAGCTGGGCTAGCAGCAGAGAGAGACAGAGATAGCTGGGCTAGCAGCAGCTAGAGACAGAGATAGCTGGGCTAGCAGCAGCTAGATACAGAGATAGTTGGGCTAGCAGCAGAGAGAGACAGAGATAGCTGGGCTAGCAGCAGCTAGAGACAGAGATAGCTGGGCTAGCGGCAGAGAGAGACAGAGATAGCTGGGCTAGCAGCAGAGAGAGCCAGAGATATCTGGGCTAGCAGCAGCTAGAGACAGAGATAGCTGGGCTAGCAGCAGAGAGAGACAGAGATAGCTGGGCTAGCAGCAGAGAGAGACAGAGATAGCTGGGCTAGCAGCAGCTAGAGACAGAGATAGCTGGGCTAGCAGCAGCTAGAGACAGAGATAGCTGGGCTAGCAGCAGCTAGAGACAGAGATAGCTGGGCTAGCAGCAGCTAGAGACAGAGATAGCTGGGCTAGCAGCAAAGAGAGACAGAGATAGCTGGGCTAGCAGCAAAGAGAGACAGAGATAGCTGGACTAGCAGCAGCTAGAGCCAGAGATAGCTGGGCTAGCGGCAGAGAGAGACAGAGATAGCTGGGCTAGCGGCAGAGAGAGAGACAGAGATAGCTGGGCTAGCAGCAGCTAGAGACAGAGATAGCTGGGCTATCTCTGTCTCTAGCAGCTAGAGACAGAGATAGCTGGGCTAGCAGCAGCTAGAGACAGAGATAGCTGGGCTAGCGGCAGAGAGAGACAGAGATAGCTGGGCTAGCAGCAGAGAGAGACAGAGATAGCTGGACTAGCGGCAGAGAGAGACAGAGATAGCTGGGCTAGCGGCAGAGAGAGACAGAGACAGCTGGGCTAGCAGCAGCTAGAGACAGATATAGCTGGGCTAGCAGCAGCTAGAGACAGAGATAGCTGGGCTAGCAGCAGAGAGAGACAGAGATAGCTGGGCTAGCAGCAGATAGAGCCAGAGATATCTGGGCTAGCAGCAGCTAGAGACAGAGATAGCTGGGCTAGAAGCAGAAAAAGACAGAGATAGCTGGGCTAGCGGCAGAGAGAGACAGAGACAGCTGGGCTAGCAGCAGCTAGAGACAGAGATAGCTGGGCTAGCAGCAGCTAGAGCCAGAGATATCTGGGCTAGCAGCAGCTAAAGACAGAGATAGCTGGGCTAGCAGCAGAGAGAGACAGAGATAGCTGGGCTAGCAGCAGCTAGAGACAGAGATAGCTGGGCTAGCAGCAGAGAGAGACAGAGATAGCTGGGCTAGCAGCAGCTAGAGACAGATAGCTGGGCTAGCAGCAGCTAGAGACAGAGATAGCTGGGCTAGCAGCAGAGAGACACAGAGATAGCTGGGCTAGCAGCAGCTAGAGACAGAGATAGCTGGGCTAGCAGCAGAGAGAGACACAGATAGCTGGGCTAGCAGCAGCTAGAAACAGAGATAGCTGGGTTAGCAGCAGCTACAGCCAGAGATAGCTGGGCTAGCAGCAGAGAGAGACAGAGATAGCTGGGCTAGCAGCAAAGAGAGACAGATATAGCTGGGCTAGCAACAGCTAGAGCCAGAGATAGCTGGGCTAGCAGCAGCTAGAGCCAGAGATAGCTGGGCTAGCAGCAGAGAGAGATAGAAATAGCTGGGCTAGCAGCAGCTAGAGACAGAGTTAGCTGGGCTAGCGGCAGAGAGAGAGACAGAGATAGCTGGGTTAGCGGCAGAGAGAGAGACAGAGATAGCTGGGCTAGCAGCAGCTAGAGACAGAGATAGCTGGGCTAGCGGCAGAGAGAGACATAGATAGCTGGGCTAGCAGCAGAGAGAGACAGAGATAGCTGGGCTAGCAGCAGCTAGAGCCAGAGATAGCTGGGCTAGCAGTAGAGAGAGAGACAGAGATAGCTGGGCTAGCAGCAGAGAGAGACAGAGATAGCTGGGCTAGCAGCAGAGAGAGACAGAGATAGCTGGGCTAGCAGCAGCTAGAGACAGAGATAGCTGGACTAGCAGCAGCTAGAGACAGAGATAGCTGGGCTAGCAGCAGAGAGAGACAGAGATAGCTGGGCTAGCAGCAGCTAGAGCCAGAGATAGCTGGGCTAGCAGTAGAGAGAGAGACAGAGATAGCTGGGCTAGCGGCAGAGAGAGAGACAGAGATAGCTGGGCTAGCAGCAGCTAGAGACAGAGATAGCTGGGCTAGCAGCAGCTAGAGACAGAGATAGCTGGGCTAGCAGCAGCTAGAGCCAGAGATAGCTGGGCTAGCAGCAGAGAGAGTCAGAGATAGCTGGGCTAGCAGCAGAGAGAGACAGAGATAGCTGGGCTAGCAGCAGAGAGAGACAGATATAGCTGGGCTAGCAGCAGCTAGAAATAGAGATAGCTGGGCTAGCAGCAGAGAGAGACAGATATAGCTGGGCTAGCAACAGCTAGAGCCAGAGATAGCTGGGCTAGCAGCAGCTAGAGACAGAGATAGCTGGGCTAGCAGCAGAGAGAGACAGAGATAGCTGGGCTAGCAGCAGCTAGAGACAGAGATAGCTGGGCTAGCAGCAGCTAGAGACAGAGATAGCTGGGCTAGCAGCAGAGAGAGACAGAGATAGCTGGGCTAGCAGCAGCTAGAGACAGAGATAGCTGGGCTAGCAACAGCTAGAGACAGAGATAGCTGGGCTAGCAGCAGCTAGAGACAGAGATAGCTGGGCTAGCAGTAGCTAGAGACAGAGATAGCTGGGCCAGCAGCAGAGAGAGATAGCTGGGCTAGCAGCAGCTAGAGACAGAGATAGCTGGGCTAGCAGCAGAGAGAGACAGAGATAGCTGGGCTAGCAGCAGCTATAGACAGAGATAGCTGGGCTAGCAGCAGCTAGAGACAGAGATAGCTGGGCTAGCAGCAGAGAGAGACAGAGATAGCTGGGCTAGCAGCAGCTAGAGACAGAGATAGCTGGGCTAGCAACAGCTGAGAGACAGAGATAGCTGGGCTAGCAGCAGCTAGAGACAGAGATAGCTGGGCTAGCAGTAGCTAGAGACAGAGATAGCTGGGCTAGCGGCAGAGAGAGACAGAGAGAGCTGGGCTAGCAGCAGCTAGTGACAGAGATAGCTGGGCTAGCAGCAGCTAGAGACAGAGATAGCTGGGCTAGCAGCAGAGAGATACAGAGATAGCTGGGCTAGTAGCACAGAGAGCCAGAGATAGCTGGGCTAGCAGCAGCTAGAGACAGATAGCTGGGCTAGCAGCAGAGAGACAGAGATAGCTGGGCTAGCAGCAGAGAGAGACAGAGATAGCTGGGCTAGCAGCAGCTAGAGCCAGAGATAGCTGGGCTAGCAGCAGAGAGAGACAGAGATAGCTGGGCTAGCAGCAGCTAGAGACAGAGATAGCTGGGCTAGCAGCAGCTAGAGACAGAGATAGCTGGGATAGCAGCAGAGAGAGACAGAGATATCTGGGCTAGCAGCAGCTAGAGACAGAGATAGCTGGGCTAGCAGCAGAGAGAGACAGAGATAGCTGGGCTAGCAGCAGAGAGAGACAGAGATAGCTGGGCTAGCAGCAGCTAGAGACAGAGATAGCTGGGCTAGCAGCAGCTAGAGACAGAGATAGCTGGGCTAGCAGCAGCTAGAGCCAGAGATATCTGGGCTAGCAGCAGCTAGAGACAGAGATACCTGGGCTAGAAGCAGAAAAAGACAGAGATAGCTGGGCTAGTGGCAGAGAGAGACAGAGACAGCTGGGCTAGCAGCAGCTAGAGACAGAGATAGCTGGGCTAGCAGCAGAGAGAGACAGAGATAGCTGGGCTAGCAGCAGCTAGAGCCAGAGATATCTGGGCTAGCAGCAGCTAGAGACAGAGATAGCTGGGCTAGCAGCAGAGAGAGACAGAGATAGCTGGGCTAGCAGCAGCTAGAGACAGAGATAGCTGGGCTAGCAGCAGAGAGAGACAGAGATAGCTGGGCTAGCAGCAGCTAGAGACAGAGATAGCTGGGCTAGCAGTAGCTAGAGACAGAGATAGCTGGGCTAGCGGCAGAGAGAGACAGAGACAGCTGAGCTAGCAGCAGCTAGAGACAGAGATAGCTGGGATAGCAGCAGAGAGATACAGAGATAGCTGGGCTAGGAGCACAGAGAGCCAGAGATAGCTGGGCTAGCAGCAGCTAGAGACAGATAGCTGGGCTAGCAGCAGAGAGACAGAGATAGCTGGGCTAGCAGCAGAGAGAGACAGAGATAGCTGGGCTAGCAGCAGCTAGAGCCAGAGATAGCTGGGCTAGCAGCAGAGAGGGACAGAGATAGCTGGGCTAGCAGCAGCTAGAGACAGATAGCTGGGCTAGCAGCAGCTAGAGACAGAGATAGCTGGGCTAGCAGCAGAGAGAGCCAGAGATATCTGGGCTAGCAGCAGCTAGAGACAGAG